GCTATAAATCCTTTGTTTTCCCCCCAATGGTCAATTGATTTTCATGAAGGCGTGAAAGTAATTCAGCAGGGGAAAAGGTCATTTTCAATAAAAGGTGTTGGAACAACTGGATATCCATATGGCAAAAAACAACTCCAAAGCTGTCTCTCATAACATGTACAAATTAATTTGAGAAGAATCGTAGATCTAAACAAAAAGTATATTGAGTTTTAAGGAATTCTTTATATAACCTGATAAAAAATTCCTTTGTCAGATTATATGTATTGCATATATTTTCTCAAGTCTATAATATGGCTATTCAATTTCTTTTTCCAAATTCTGTTTATTTTGTTGTTGAGAATATACACAGCAAAACACACCAATTCAACAGATTCTACATTGATTACATTCTTCGAGTTTTGCAACCATCCTCACCCTCCTTTTCTGAGTTGTTCCTCCCCCATTAACATCAACTCACCATCCCCTAAGGTTTCTCTCTAATCTTTCGAGTTGCTGTGGTCAATTTGATCCCCTATAGATAGTTCTTACAAGAGCACAATGCTCAAGGCAAACCTTTTTTACTAGTTAAGCTAAACTATTCTTCAGCTTTAAGATGAATTCAGGGGATATTTTTGGTTTAAGGTTTAAAGATTAACTCAGGGCAATAGTTTGAGGGGTTCATTACCCACTATGGCTCCAGAAAGTCTAGAGTCCGGGAAAATTTGAAATTCTGTCCTGCATTTTCCCTGTTTTGATCTGGATTCTTCTATGGAAACTTGGATCAAAATGTTCAGTAATGGTAGCCAGGCACCCAGTTCTGGTCTCATGGTAAAGGAGGCAGTTATTCATGGAGGCAATTAGCCACATGTTCCATTTCCCCCTCCTATTCCTGACTGTCCTTCTTCCTCTGTTGCTCCAGGTGAATAGAAACCAATTGTTGTGCCTTAGATGGCTGCTTGCAAGTTTTTAAGACCCCAGGCACTCACTATTCAACGAACTAGGAGGTAGAATAGAAGCAGTAAACATGTTATTAGGCCAGTTACCTGGGATGTCCCATGAAAGCATGACCCTAAACCTCCAAACCAAAGAACCAAATCCCATGAGGTGTTTGGTTGTACATAAGCAGCCTTAGCATCTACTCTTTTTTTGTTGTCGTTGTGAATGTATCTATCACATAACTTTTGCCAATTCAGCTAGTTACAGGTGTACAACTTATTGACAGTAATTACAATAATAGGCTGTGCAACCCTACCCTTAATCAATGCGATTTTTCCGTCACCGTTAACCCCCCTTTTCCTCCTCCCTCCCGCCCCTGGTAACCACGAATAAACTTTGGTCTCTATACATTTGCCTTTTCTTATCTTTTTATGTAAGCGAGGTCTACAATATTTTCCTTTTGTGACTGGCTTATTTCGCTCAGCATAATGTCTTCAAAATCCATCCATAGTGTAGTATGTATCAAGACTTAATTTTTCCTACTGGCTGAGTAGTATTCCATTGTATGTATGTACCATGTTTTGTTTATCCATTCATCTGTTGATGGGCATTTAAATTGTTTCTACCTTTTGGCTGTTGTGAATAGTACTACAATGAACATTGGTGTACAAGGCTCTGTTTGAATCTCTGCTTTCTTTTGGGTATATACCTAGAAGTGGAATTCCTGGGTCATACGGTAGTTCTGTTTTTTGTTTTTTGAGAAACCACCACGGCGGTTTTCCATAATGGCTGTATTATTTTGCATTCCCACCAGCAATGGATAAAGGTTCCAATTTTCCCAAATCCTCACCAACATTTGTTATTTTGTTTTTGTTTTAATCTTAGCCACCCTAAGCCAAAAAACAAAACAAAGCCACTGCTGTCAATTCCGATAGGACAGAGCAGAACCGCCACATAGGGTTTCCGAGACTGTAAATCTTTATGGAAGCCGACTGCCACATCTTTACCCTGCTGAGTGGCTCGTGGGTTCAAACCACTGAACTTTTTCTTTTTATTCTTGTGCTTTTAAGTGAAAGTTTACAATTCAAGTTAGTCTCTCATACAAAAATTTATACACACATTGTTATGTGACCATAGCTGCTCTCCCTATACTGTGACAGCACACTCCTCCTTTCCACCCCGGATTTCCCGTGTCCATTCAACCAGCTCCTGACCCTCTCTGTCTTCTCATCTCTTCTCCAGACAGAGCTGCCCATTTAGTCTCATGTATCTACGTGACCTAAGAAGCACACTCTCCACGAGTATCATTTTATGTCCCATAGTCCAGTCTAATCTTTGTCTGAACAGTTGGCCTCGGGAATGGTTTTAGCTCTGGGTTAACAGAGAGTCTGGGGGCCATGCCTTCCGGAGTCCCTCTAGTCTCAGTCAAACCATTAAGTCTAGTCTTTTTACTAGAATTTCAGTTCTGTACCCCACTTTTCTCCTGCTCCATCAGGGACTGTCTGTTGTGCTCCCTGTCAGGGTGTCAAACCGCCAAACTTTCTATTAGCAGCCTAGTGCTTAACCACTGTGCCACCAGGGCTCCTTTAGCCATCCTACTGTGAGTGAAATGGTATCTCACGTGGCTTTGATTTGCATCTCTGATGGCTAATGATGCTGAGCATCTTTTCATGTGTCTGGTGACTGTCTTAGGCTGGGCTCTAGAGAAGCAAAACCAGTAAAGCATCTATATATATAGAGAGAGAGAGATATTTATATCAAGGAAATGGCTCACGTGGTTGTAGAGGCTGTAAAGTCCCAAGTCTGTGGGTCAGGCTGGAGGCTTCTCTTGACTCATGTAGCTATAGGAACTGGTGAAACCAAGATCAGCAGGTCAGATAACATGTGCTAAGTATGTGAAACGAAGTCTCACCATCCTTGCTTCTAATGAGCATTCTGGCTGTACTTCTTCCAAGACAGATTTGTTTGTTCCGGCTGTCCACGGTATGTTCAATATTCTTTGCCAACACCATAATTCAAAGGCATCGATTCTTCTTTGGTCTTCCTCCAACCTTTTGGTTAGCAGCTGTCTTAGTCATCTAGTGCTGCTCTAACAGAAATACCACAAGTGGATAGCTTTAACAAAGAGAAGTTTATTCTCTCACAGTCCAGTAGGCTACAAGTCTAAATTCAGGGCATCAGCTCCAAGAGAAGGCTTTCTCTCTCTGTCGGCTCTGGGGGAAGTTCCTTGTGATGCATCAGTCTTCCCTTGGTCTGAGGGCATCTCAGTGCAGGAACCTCAGGTCCAAAGGACGCGCTCTGCTCCCCGTACTGCTTTCTTAGTGGTGTGAGGTTCCCATGTGTCTCTGCTTGCTTCTCTCTTTTATATCTTAAAAGAGATCGGCTTAAGACACTATCCAATCTTGCAAACCTCATCAGTATAACTGCCACTGATCTCTCTTATTAGATCATAGTGATTGAGTTTACAACACATAAGGAAATCACGACAGATTACAGAATGGTACACAATCATACAAGAACGAGAATCATGGCCCAGCCAAACTGAGACACACATTTTTGGGGGGGACATAATTCAGTCCATGACAGCAGCTGAGTGCATTAACCATTCAAGCCACTCAGGGACCTTCAAACGTGGTCCTGGGAGGAGGAGATGTTTGCCGTTCACCAGCGGACATCCAGGGCTGCTTTGTGGCAGAGCCTCCACCCCCGCCTCCTGGGGGTGGATTTAGGGGCAGCAAGAGCATCTCCCTCTCCCCACCCAGCTCGATCACCACAGAAGGTGGGCCCAGGAAGACTGAATGGGAGAGTTGCAGTATTTGTACCCCTTCCACCCCTGGAGGGAGCCCAGGCAGGGGGGTGGGAGGCCAGGCTGAGGCAAGGCAATCTCCGCGGCATGGACAACCAGCATCCCACTGCAGAAAGGCCCTCAGAGAATCCTAGCTCAGAGTTTCACTTTTTTTTAAAGCTTCTGACACCTTCAGCTCAGCATGGACCCGCTTTAGTTGCAATGTGTGGGTGCTGGGAGAAAAGGGGACCAGTAGCCTGGCTCCCCCTTCTTCCCACATTCAGGCTACCCCAAGAGGCAACTTAAAGCCTTCACTGGACTGTTAGAAAACCCCAGGCCTAGTGCACCACACCCATTTTCCAGATGAGAAGCCTGAGACCTGGTGTGGGGCAGTGACCTGCCTGAGGACACTGGCTAGCCCATGTGAGTCCACAGATGCCGCTCCCAGATTCCAGGGACTCAGGAATGCAGATGGCCAGACCTCGGGGCCCAGTCTATTCACTGCAGCAAATGTGGGAGGGCCCAGGCCCAGGTGGGGCAGGGTGAGACCAGGTCATCTCCTGTGGGCTACTGTGGGCAGCCAGGCTGTACCTCACCTGAGCGATATGAAGTGGGGTACTGAGATGGGCAGGTGACCTGCCTATACATGGCCCTAAGGCCACTCATCACAGTGGGTGTAGAACGAGGCAGTGCAGGTCAGAAGAAACACCGGCCTATTCCCGCCATGCTCGGGAAGCACCTGCAGATCTGGCCCTCGGCCCTCGGCCCTGATCTGCTGGGAGCAGCCCTGTCCATTCTACAGAGGAGCAAAGTGGGTTAAGCTCAGCGTGCCTGCCAAGGTCGCTCTTAAGTGGTTGAAGAGCAGGAAGGGATCGGCCCTCAGTGGATCCGAGCCCAGGGTTCCCCCACCCCAAGGAGAGGTCACCATCCTGTGCCCCAAGGGCCTGAACTCTGGGGTGTAACGTAGACTCCAGCTCCAAATTCATGAAAATTTAATACTCCATTCCATAATATATCTGGGTTTGTTTTAATATAAAAATAACAGTTTTCCCCAAATCTTTGCTCTAGGAAAACATGCCATGGTAGCTGCGTGGCTTCATGTGCCACCCCGACCCCTCATCCCATTGGGTGGAAGAGTCACAGCCTATACAGCTGCAGCTCTGGGCCCTGAGTGGACCCGGAGGGGGCCAAGGGGAAGTGGCAAGCCGTGGAGGACAGGTAGGGCCCCCCTGGCTGGGGGTGTTAGTCCTGCCTGGAGCTGGCACCCTGAGCCCTTGCTGCGACTGCCTGGACACTGCTGTCACTGGTGGAGGTAGGCTTCCAGCCAGGTGTCGCCAGACTTCTTCAGGGACCTGGGAGGCAGGTAGAGGTGAGTGTTAGGGACTCCCCTGAAAGTTGCTAACACCCAACCCCCCCCCCAGATGATGAGTGTGTGTGGAGATATCCTCGTTCCCTCCTGAGTCCCCTTCCACCCAGGGCCCTCTTGTCTCCTGAGTCCCCTTCCACCTGGGGCAGGCAGCTGGATGGGGCTGAAGGGTTGGGCTGGGAGAAGAGGCTCGGCACTCTAACTCATTAACCATTAACGGGGGCAGCAGGGGTGTGGAATCTAGACCAGAGTCGGAAGGAGGGGGAAGTGAGTGAGGGGGAGGGGTGGCTACAACCAGGACCAGGCAGGAGCCCGGGCAGGGCCAGTCCCTCCTTCATCTGGCACTCCCTGTACCCACCCCCATCTAGGCACACAGGCTTTGGGCTAGGCATTGCAACCCAGAGACCTATAAGCGGGAACCTGCCCACCAGGTGCCGGGCCAAAACCCTGTGCCAGGTGCTATACGGGGCTGGCTGAGTGGCGGGGCCCAGAGGATGGAGCTGGGAAGAATCCTGAAGGAGAAGCAGTATAGAAGAAGGAAGAGCATCCAAGTAAAGGGAACAGCATGTGCAAAGGCACCCAGGTGGGAGACAGCTCAAAAGTGGGGACTGGCCCAGATACCCAGAATCCCACCTCTGTTCCCCACCTCTGAGGCCACCACCCAGGCTGGGCCCCTGGACCGCTGTGGGAGCCTCCATGCTGCTTTCGGCTGTGATTCTTGTCTGGGTCAGTGTATTCTCACAGTCAGGGATCTTTCTAGAATCTAAGCCAGACCATGCCCTTCCTCTGCTCAGAGCCCACAGTGGCTCCTCATCTTACTCAGGGTAAAAACCAGTCTTCACAGACACCAGCAGGGCTTGCCTTGCCCCACCTGCCCCTTGCACATTCCACTCCAGCCCAGCTGGCCTCCACACCTCTGCACGTACAACAGGATGTGCCGGCCTCAGGACCTTTGCACTGGCTGTTCCCTCTACCTGGAACACTCCTCCCGCGGATGTCCCACGGCCAGCCCTCTCTCTTCCTCCATGTCTCTGCTCACATCTCCTCAATACTGCCCACCCTGCCCCCCTATTAAAAACCGCACCCCTGCCCTGGCACTCCTGACTCCCTTCTTTTTTTTCTTTTGCCATAACACTTCTCCCCTCCTTACGCTTTCTGTAACTTATTTATTACTTTTATTGCTGGCTTTCTGTTTCCCTGCTAGCACGTCAGCTCTAGGAAGGCAGGGGTCTCAGCCTGCGTGGCTCACTGGTGTGCTCGGGCACCTACGACAGGGCCTGTAGGCTCCCCAAAGCCTCACTGTGTGAATGGTCCCTGGGGACAGGCTGGGGACAGAGGGGCGGGCTGACCAGGAAAGGCTCTTAGGGAGGGGCCCGTGTGGTCTCAGAGCACTGGGTGTCTGGTAGGGGGCTGGCCGGGATGTGGGTGGGTCTGTAAGCCAAGCGGCCATACCTGATGATGTCCGCCAGGGCGGTGAGGAAGGGCTTCACCTCGTAGCTGAGGCCGTGCTTGGCACACAGAGCCCTGACCAGTGGGGCCACCCTGCGGTAGTTGTGCCGTGGCATCGTGGGGAAGAGGCTGCAGGGAGGAGTGCATACTGGCATCTGAGGCGGGGGGCTGCAGAGGGAGCCCCCACCCACTCATCACCTCTCCCAAGGTCCCCAGGGAGTCCAGGGCTTGTCTCTTGGCCTCTCAGGGCAAAGATGAGGATCCTGGTCCAGCCCCTGGCTCAGGCTTCACACCCCTCTGCTGGCCCCCTGCCCCCAGGCCCTGCCCGGCCCACACTCACTGGTGCTCGATCTGGAAGTTGAGGTGCCCGCAGAACCAGTCGTTGAAGACGGACTGTTCCACGTTGCAGGTGGCTGCCAGCTGCCGGGAGCAGGCGGGGCGCAGGTGAGGAAGGCTGGCCCCCACAGCACCCCCATTCCTCCTTGCTGGCTGGCTCCCAGCTGGGACCCGCCTGCCCCGGGTAGGCTCAGCCCGCCCCGCCCCCACCACCCACCTGGGAGCTGGCCCAGTCGCGGTGCTTCTCCTGGCCAATCTCCTTGGGGATATGGTTCATCTGTGTGATCCACACGAACCAGTGGCTCTCCAGGACCCTGTAGGGGGAGGCTTGGCAGTGCCCTGCATCCAGCTCACCACTTAGGCTCTGTCAGTGGAGGCTGGAGTGCAGGCTGTGACCCAGACCTGGGTCTCAGTTTCCTCATCTGTACAATGGGATTTTGCTAACTCCTTCCTCACATGGGGTTTACAGCAGCTGAACGGAGCATGTCCATAGTGAGGCTGAGCCCAGAGAGGCCCTGCTCATGAGGGTGGACGCCACAGAGCTGCCGGCAAGCCTGGCTGCCTCCCCCAGACCTGCAGCCCCTGGGCTCCTGCCACTCTGGTGTTCGTTCAATTCCCCAACAACCCAGGGAGGCAGGACTGCTGTGCCCATTCTGCAGATGGGAAATGGCGGCCCCGAGGGTGGAGGGCTGTGGTCAGGGTCACCCTGCTGGCTGTGTGTGACCTCCACCTCCCTGCCACTCCCAACCTGGCCATACCTGACAGCAACATAGAGGAACAGCACCCCGGGGATGCCATAGAAGGGGGCGTAGGACAAGAAGAAGCGGAAGTAGAAGCTGGCGGCCCAGAGCAAATCCTGCAGGCGAGGGTAGAGGTATTACTGAGTGGCCTCGAGGCAACTAGGGTCTGGGAGCCTGGGAGGTGGGAGGTAGGCCTTTCTGGGCCTTGGTTTTCTAAGCTGAGTAAAGGGACAGGGCTGCTGCCCCGCCTGTTCCAAGGGGCTAACCATGTGAAGGTGCCATGTGTCTCCCAGGCTCGCCCTGCCTGGGAAACAAATGCCTGGCAGAGCCTGCGCAGCGGTTTCCTGTCCAGGGAAGAGACTCCATCGTGAGAGACCCACACCATGCCCCCTGCACGCCCACTCCCCCTCCCCCTACACACATGCACATGCGTGCACACACACACACAGCGTCATATGCACACACTCTCCCCTGTACACACACAGACATACCACATCGTGTGCACGCGCACTCACTCCCCCTGTGCACACGTACCACACCATCACGTGCACACTTCCCCTACACACACACACCACACTGTCATGTACACACGCTCTCCTGCGCACACACCGTTGTGCAAGCACACTCCCTTGCACACACACACATCATGTGCACACTCCCCCTACACACACGTCCAGTCTTGTGTGCACACTCCCCCTGCACACACAATCGTGCACACTCCCCCTACACACACACGTACCAGTCTTGTGTGCACACTCCCCCTGCACACACACACCACACTGCCATGTGCACACACTCTCCTCCTGCACAGACACCGTTGTGCGTGCACACTCACTCCCCCTGCACGCGCACACACACACCATCACGTGCAAACTCCCCGCTCACACACACAGACATGTACCACACCATCACACATGCAGTCACTCCGCCCTGCACACACATACACACACACACCATGCCATCACGCACACCTGCTAGCATCCTGGACAGGTGCTGCCTTCCTGAAGCCCCACATCCGGCCACCACAGCTGTATGCCTGGGAGACCTGAGCAGGGACCCACCCACGCACTCACCGTCCACCGCATGCACACCAGCATGTACGCCAGGTTTTCCACTTCGAAGTTCACCAGGGTGAGCAGCGGCGGGCCAACTGAGGAGGGGACACGAGAGGGTTCAGGAGCAGGGCTGGGTGACCAAGCAGGGTGAGCAGTGGGAGTTGGGGAGTGGGATTCTGTCTCTCCAGGAGTACCAATGGGGCTTTGGTGTTGGTCCCATCCAGCTGGGATGGACCCTGCATCACCCACAAGGCCTTGCCTATACTCATTACCTCGGCATTCAAGGCATTCCCAGATGCCCTCGCCCTACTGCCTCACATGTCCCTTCTGCAGCAGGTCAGCAGCATCACAGTCAGGGGCCAGCCTCGCACGTTCCCGGCTTCAATCCTCACCCAAACCCTCTAGGGCTCTGACCATTCTGATGTGAGGGCAGAAAGGGATTCTGAGGAGCGTGTAGGGAAGCTCAGGGCAGGGTTGTGACTGCATCTGGCAGGAAGGTACCCCAGGCAGGGAGAGCAGCCAGGGCAAAGGTAGAGCCAGGGCAGAGCCAGTACAGGCTGCAGGCTGGGCCGAGCCATTAAGTGCAGGGTGCAGGCTGGGGTGGAGCCAGTATGTGCTGTAGGCTGGGGCTGCCAGAGCAGAGGGTGGGGGAGGCTTGATGAGGATGCGCCTGGTGAAAGTGGTTGTCCAGGGTCTGCGTGGGGAGGACCCTGCCTCAGCTCCCTGCCCCAGCCATGTCCCAGCAGGACACATGGACACTCACTCAGGAAGAAGTACAGGTGCTGGTGGTTGTAGGGCAGGTATCTGCGTTTCTTCTTGCCGTACTGTGGAGACAGGTGGCAGCTGGGGAGGGCAGCTCTCTATGCCCTCCCCATCCCAGGCAAAGTCAGGAGGCTGGCTGGGGCCAACAGTCAAAAGCAACCCTACACTCTAGCAAACAGGCCATCATCCCCAGCAGGTGTAGGGGTGGAGCACTGGGGCAGGGACTGGGGCTGGGCCAGAGTGGTCTGTCGCTGTGGTCTCCCTCAACTGCAGGCCCAGCCCGAGAGTGTCCAGGTCCCTCCTCACGCACCTCAATGGATGACTCTCCCAGGAGGAAGACAGGCGCCAGGGTCACATCAGGGTCTTTGTGAAAGATGTTGGGCTTGGCATGGTGCTGGTAGTGGCGGAAGTTCCACCAGTGGGCGGAGAAACCCTGCGGGGGGCGAGGAGGGCTCTCAGGGGTGCGAGCAAGGCCGTGCCTATTTCTCCACGTCCACACGCTTGGGCAGAGCCAGCACGGCGCCCCCGCTCAGCCCCTGGCTGCCTGCCTTTCCTCCACACTCACCTTCAGCTGCCCCATCACAAACTGCTGGGCCAGGTGGTTCCAACGAGACTTCTGGAAGACTGAGGAGTGGCCCAGGTCGTGCTGCAGACACCAGCTCTGAGCCTAGGAAAGAGGCAGAGTCGAGGGGGAGGGGGCTACACTGGAGAAGCGGGGGGGGGGGGGAAGCTGGCTCCGGCCAGGATGGAGGGGGCTAGCGCCTGCAGACCAACTCAGCTTCAGGGAGGTTGAGGGGCTGCAAGCCCATGATGGAGCCTCTGACTCAGGCCTTATTAAATAAGGAGCTTCCTTGGGCTCACTTAAAATGCAGCCTGACCCACAGATACACGACTGATGAGGCTTTCTGGCTGTTTGCTGGTTTGTTCGTTCACTCATTCGTTCATTCATGGGGCCCTCTGGCTGTCCATTTGTCCATCTGTCATTCATGCATTCACCCATCCCTTCAGCAGATCTGTCCAGAGTGCTACGTGGGCCGGGCCCTGTGTCTCTTGGGCAGTCTAGGGTGGCTGTAGCACAATGGTGAGGTTACCTGGGAGAGGGCCAGGATGAGGGCAGCGAGGGTGCTGGGCACCCAGCCGGGGCCCAGGAGGTAGATGAGGAGCCAGGCGAGCACCTCCATGGCGAGGATGTGGCCCAGCAGGAGTGCGAAGAAGGAAGGCTTGGCCTCGAACAGCTTCATGTCCTCGGCTGCCTGGCGTAGGGCTCGGAAGTCCTCCACCAGCTGGGCCTGCACAGGTGGAGTGGCCAGTAAGCCAAGGAAAGTGTCCCCAGAAGCCCCCCACTGATCCCCATGCCTGGCTGCTCCCCGCAGTGCCCGGCCCGAGGGGCCAAAGCAGGATAGAGGGACCAGAGAGCCTGTGGGTGAGCTGGGGAGGCCCTTTAAAGGTGTAGGGTGCAGGAGAAGCAGAGAAAGCCACAGTGGGGCTTAGCTCATTGAAATCCTCATTGTGGAGGGGACGCTGGGCCCAGAGCAGGGACAAGGCTCGCCTGGGGACTCCGCAAGTGCCTAGCCAAGCCAGATCTAGCGCCCTGGAGGGTGTTGCTATAGCACCGCCTATACCGGCAAATTCAGATGGAGCTGTTCCTGGCAGTGCCCCACAACCCTTAACCCCCCTGCTCACATTCTGGGGTCCATCCAGGCTGGGCTCGTCCGGGGCCAGCTCACCAATCAGCAGGGGCTGCAGGAACTTGCGCACGAAATTGAGGTCGGAGTGGAAGGCGCGGAAGGCGTCCTGAAGAAGAGCGGATAGTCAGGTGGAAAGACAGACAGATGGAGCGGCACCCAGAGACGACAGGCAGAGACACAGTGCACAGGACTGCTGACGGACTGGCAGGGCAGACAGACAGATGGATAGAAAGTCAACAGGTTGTTCAGTGGTCACAGAAATAGTACCAAGTGGGTGAGCCTTGCCCATGAGCCTCTCTGGTCTTCCCCAGACCCTGGGTGCCCTGCTTGACACCCCATCTGCTTTACCCAGCCCAGGGGGCCCCTCTGCAAACCTGGCTCAGGGTATAAAAATCTGGATTTATAGAAAGACTTCCCTGGGAGGCTTCGAATCCATTCATGAAAGAGGCTGGCTTTTCCAAGAAGGTCTCTGGAAAGCTTTCTTTAAATCACACACTTCTCTACTACATGTAAAATAAGATTTGGGCCACAAATATTAGATTTACCCAACTTTTAGAAACACAAGCATTGGGTAAAGCGTGGGTAGGAAAACTTGTAATGGAGGACCACTAGGCCAACAGGGGAAAAAAATCAGTCGATGCCCAGACAGACTGAGTTCTTCAGGACTGCAAGGGACACACCTGAACAGTAAAACTCATTTGACTTAAAAAGTAGGAGCAGAAAATATAACTTTTTTGAAAAACTAAATGAAAGAAATAATCTAACATCCCAGTGATTCTCTGTAACAGCCAGGGGTGGGGTGAGGTACAATGCAAAGGAAGGAAATGAAGGAAAGAGGGGTTAGAGAAAGACAGAAGGAACAAAAAAGAGCTAGGGAAAGAGACCAGCCAGGAAACAGCCCAGGCAGTTCTGGATTGTTAGTGAACTTGAACGTTGCACCTAACCCGCTGCTGTCGAGTCCATTCCGACTCATGGCAACCCTATGTGTTACAGAGTAAACCTGCTCCATAGGGTTTTCTTGGCTGTAATCTTTATGGAAGCAGATTGCCAGGCCTGTCTTCCACAGCGCCATTGGGTAGGTCTGAACCACCAACCTTTCGATTGGTAATCAAGCACAGACTGCACCATGCACTTAATTGTTAACAGCTCTTCAGCTGATTTTTATCCTTGCTCTTTCAGAGGCTCTCTCTGAATGGGCTAGCCACAGCCACATAGCAGCCTGAACTGCAGAAGCAGAGACTGGGGCAGTGTTGTCCCCATGGGCCAGGGGAAGGTGACCGAGGGGCCTCGTGGCTGCTAAAGGAAGCACCTTTGAAGGAGGCTTTGCGAGAGCAGGGGCTTCCTATTGTCCTCACATTAGTGAGGCTACCAGCTTCTGGTGTGTGTTAAAACAGGAGAAGTGACAGCCGGGCCCCTGGAACCACTGCCAGACATCCTTGCAGTGTCCTGGGGGAAGGAAGCACCTCAGGCCCCTCCAGCCCCATTTAGAGGCCACACCTGCAGGATCTACCCTAAAGGTCCCCTTTCCTGCTGCTTGTTCTCTTACTGGCCTAGGGCAGCCTGGGGACCCGGGGGTAGGGGGTGGATGTTCAGGAATGACCTTGGCCCTTGGGAAGGCAGACCTCAGTGCAGGGGAGGGGGCTCTGCGTAAGTGCAGATCTCATCCTTTCTGGGGGTAGGCGAGGGCTGGACCCTAAGAAGGGGCGGCAAAACTGGGAGGGAGGCGAAAGGGAGGTTGGGGACTTACAGGAGATGCCTGGGCCCCCATGGGGCACGTGGAGGCATCCCCAAAGGGCATGGGTGCCAAACCCTGTGACCCTGTGGATAGCTTGAAGGTGGCACTCAAGGCCTTTAGTTGGGTGTTTCACCAACTAGAATAAAGAAGGGCTCCCCTAAACATACTGGAGCCCTGGTGGCACAGTAGTTAAGCGCTCAGCTGCTAACCAAAAGGTCGGCGGTTCGACCTCTCCAGCTGCTCCACAAGCTAAAGATGTGGCAGTCTGCTTCTGTAAAGATTACAGCCTTGGAAACCCTTTGGGGCAGTTCTACTCTGTCCTGTAGGGTTGCTATGAATCAACTCAAGGCAATGTGTTTTTATAGGTCCCCTATATGTAAGCTCCCGGTGGCAGGGTCAGGATCTGTTTGCAGCAGTGTCCTCAGAGCCTGGCACAGAGCAGGTGTGAATACGTGGACAACAGCAGGGGGAATGAACCCATTTTACTGGAGAGAAACTGAGGCTCAGAGTGTGGGCACGCCTGCCCAGGTCAGAGAGTTTGTAAGAGGCAGAGCTGGGATTCGAACTCAGCCTGCATTCCATGATGTCCATGCTCCCTTAGGATACAGATCTACCACCAGCCCTGCCTCGGTCCCCAGACAAGATCTTCGGCCACTCCACCCTGAGCCACCAGGGCCCATCCTGTGGGGGCTTAGGAGGCTTAAGTGAACCACTGCAGGTGAGGCACTTAACTGCCTGGCGTCCGCGAGTGCCCCACCGCGTGCTGGCTTTCACGGGAGCCTATGCTCTGACGCGTCCCTTCTTTGGAGAGCCCGCTTACAGAGGCTGACTGCCTGCTAACAGGGGCTCTCAGGTGTGGCTGGGAGAGTGCAGACAGCTGCCCTGGCCTCAAGTTCTGGCCAAGCCTGAGGCTGGGGAACAGGAGGGGCTGGCAGCCTCCTTCCCTGCCAGAGACACGATGGGGTGGGGGAGGAGGGAGGAGGATGGGCATTTTTGGTCACTCCCCAAAGAATAGAGAATGTTCCAGATCAGAAAGGGGCAGAACAGGGAATGGGCAGGACTGCTGGGGGCTCAGGTGGTCTTGGGTCTGTCCTTGCTGCCTCAAGCCTTTACTGAGGAGGCAGCTGTGAGTGGTGGAGATGAAGCGGGGGGGTGGTTGATACGCCTCAGAGGCTAAACAGGCAAACAAACCAAAAACCAAACCAGGTCCCATGGAGTTGATTCTGACTCATGGTGACCCCACCTGTGCCGAGTAGAACTGTGCTCCGTTGGGTTTTCATGGCCGTGACCTTTTGGAAGCAGATCACAAGGCCTTTTTTTTTCGAGGCACCTCTGGGTGGGTTTGAACTGCCAACCTTTCAGTTAGTAGTCGAGTGCTTAACAACTCGCCCCATCCAGGGACTCCTCCTTGGAGGATACCAAACCCAAACCAAGCCCATTGCCGTCGAGTCAATTTCGACTCATAACATCCCAATAGGACACGGTAGAACTGCCCTATGGGATTTCTTTACAAAAGCTGACTGCCACATCTTTCTCCAGCGGAGCTGCTGGTAGGTTTGAACCTTTCTGTTAGTAGCTGAGCACTTAACCACTGTGCCACCAGGGCTCCTTCCTCAGAGGACACTCCTCCTCCCCGCAAACTCCTCCCTCTCTCCCTCTCCCTGTGGGCGGATTAACCAGGAACCGGTACCCACCACTCAGACGCTCCACATAAGGGGTCAATAGGGGAGCACTAGCAGTACCCCCATTTTACAGATGAGGAAACTGAGGCCCACAGCTCTGAACACAGCACATCAAACTCCAGCCCGTGAAACTGGGCCCTGCTCAAGTGCAGAGGCCTCCAGGAAGCTGCCCTGTCCCCCCAGCACCCCTGGTATCCCTGGTGAAGGGCTGGCACACACCTGACGTTCTTCTCCTCTCCGCGCCCTTGGCCTCACAGGTGTCGCTGACCCAGCAGCAGCTCCAAAGGGGCTGGGCCCTCTGGCACTTGGTCCCCTCCCGACACTTATCTCCGGCTCTTCCCACTATTTCATCTGAACTCGCAGTGCCTGGGTGCCCTGCTGGCTGCTAGCATCCCTGCCTCTGTACACTGGGTCCCTTCCAGTGCCAGACAATCCCGTCTTCTCCCCTGGGTGAGGAAGGTGGGCACTGGGAGCAGGCCATCACGAGACAGGGGCAGGGAAGGATTACCCAACAAGCAAGGTACGCACAGGCTTATTTGTGCTTACTTACTAATCTGTAGCGCACAATGTCACCTGTTTTTCACATGCAAGGTTTTGGAACCTGAACTGAGAAGAATCACTGGTGAATGGATTATGGGGTGAGGGTAAGAGGAGAGGAATATCTGTAGCCATTTGTCTAGATAATTGCTTAGATGCAAATGGACAACAAAACTGCTCCATCTCCTGAGGAGATGTGGTGAAATTTTGTCCTCCTCCGGCCAAGGAGATGGACTTCCCCTTGGCAGCCCTGAAGGAGCTGTGGAAAGCACAGGGCTCTGGTGACCACGATAACCAGGTGCCCAGGTGCCCAGCACCATCCCTACAGTTCACCCCAGGAGGAAAGCATTCTTATCCCCATTACACTGACAGGGCAACTGAGATCCAGAGGGGAAGGGAAATATCATAGAGTGAGGCCAGGCCAGCTCTGTCTCTAAAGACGACACTGAGCTAAATCCTAATAGCTCCTGGTAGGAGATGCCCACAGTATCTCTGCCTTCTGCCCTGGCCACACATGCCCTTCAGGGCCAGTTAATGGCCACCTCTTTCAAGTGGCCACCCCTGACTGCCCCAGGTGAGGCAGGTTCCTATCATACCTTCTCTTAGCCCCCTGCCCTTCTCCTGGGAGGTTCTGCCCCCAACATAAAATAATTACCCAGGATTCTCAACTGCCCCAAGAATCCTTGTAAACGTTTATCAGATTTCCTACCTTTTTCTGCAGCCCTCCAGGGCTCCCTTTTCCCTACAGGACCCAGCCCCTGCTACCTCTCGACCTCACTGCCTGCCCCTCTCCCCTCTGCCCTTGTTCTGGCCACGCCAATCACCTTGTTGTTCCTTGAACACAGTCCCACCTCTGAGCCTTTGCCCTAGTTGATCCCTCTGCTGGGAGCTCCCTCTCCCCAATCTCCACACTTGGTTTAGTTCCCAGCTGTATCCTCAGAGGTTAGAACAGAGTTTGGCACATAGGGATGCTCAATGAATATCTGCTGATGGGTTTAATGATTAAATAATAGAAGAATGAATAAATGAAACAAACCAAGTGGCAGTAGAGCATGGTGGTTAAGAGTGTGGGCTGTAGATTCAAATCCCAGATCTGCTGCTGAATTTCAAGTCACTTGGCCTCTCTGAGCCTCAGTTTTCTCATCTGTAAAGTGGGAGTAAAAATAATAGTACCTGCCTCACAGGGGTATCTTGAGGATTAAAAGAGTGTCTATAAAGTGAGCACCGAGTTCAGAGCCTGGCACATAGTAGGTGCTCAGGCCCGGCCCTGGTATACTATGGCTGGTGAGGGCCTGGCTGTGCCCCTCCCTGGCTGGCCCCACAGTTCTCAAGCCGCCTAAGGCTCTTAGACAAACCTGGCTGGAGGCCCAGAGCGCTCTTCCCAGAGCACCAGCTTTGTAGTCCAGGATGGCCACAGCCTGACTTCATGGTACAGGAACTCTGGGAATTTCCTGGCAGGAAGGCTTCTGTTGCCTGGACACGAGAACAGCTGATGGGTGGCCGGGGTTGGTGAGAGGTGGCTGCTGGAACAGAGCCCTGGGAAGAAGGTTGCCCCCACTGCCTGAGCTCCAGGGCCCAGGATGAGACATCTAGGGTCTGTGCTCAGCCACATACCTGCCAGGGCAATGAGCCGGTTCAACCCCTGGTCTGCCCTGTGGGCCCATCACAGACAGACTGAGGCCACTTCACAGCCCCTTGGGCCAGAATGGACCAGGTATTTTTGGCAACTCCAGCCCAGTATTTGGGGCCTTGAGGGAGCTAAGAGATGGCCTAAGGCAACTCCTTCCCGTTACAGACAGGGACGGGACCAGGCAAGGCCACCCGGCCAAGGGGTGTTTGTGCCCCGGTTGTTCCACTGCATTCGACAGCGTGCAAGGCAAGTTCACACTTATCCATCAGCAACATTTACTGAGCACCAACTACATGCCAGCCCTGGGGCCACGGGCTTGAGAAGACATGGTCCTACCCTCAGTGGGCTCACTGTCTGGCCCATTTTTCCATTTTACAGATGAGGGAACTGAGGCTCAGAGGAGCAATGTAACTGGTTTAAGGTCACTCAGAGCCTCCAATGGCAGACCCAGGATCCAGCCCAGACAGCAGGGACATTTTTTTTTTTTTTAATGGAACTTGGAAGGCAGACCTCACTGGCCACAGGTCAATCAGAAAACTATCAGATGCAGGGAACACAACAGAGAGGCCCTGACGGAGCAAGGGAAGGGTGGGATGCAGAACTCAAATTCTAGTAAAAAGACCAGACTTAATGGTTGGACTGAGACTGGAGGCACCCCAGAAAGCATGGCCCCCGGATCTCTGTCAACCCAGAACTAAAACAATTCCCGAGGCCAACCCTTCAGACAAAGATAGGACTGGACTATGGGACATAAAATGATACTTGTGAAGAGTGTGCTTCTTAGCTCAAGTAAATACATGAGACTAAATGGGCAGTTTCTGTCCGGAGTTGACATGAGAAGGCAGAGAGGGTTATGAGCTGGTTGAACGGACATAGGAAATCGGGTGGAAAGGGGAGTGTGCTGTCACAGTATAGGGAGAGCAATTAGGGTCACATAATGGTGTGTGTATAAATTTTTGTATGAGAGACTAACTTGAATTGTAAACTTTCACTTAAACTACAACAACAACGACAAAAGACAACTGTCAGATGGAGGCCTCAGGGTCTCGTGCTAAATGCAAGAGGGGGGTCCCCAGCACAGACCTAGGCACTAAGTCAGAAACAACATTTAATAAATCGTCTCTGTGTTTCTTCCCCTCGCCTGCCACCATTTTGTCCTACAGGTCAGAGAATGAGAAAGGCCAGGGTGGGTCCCCAGAGGACCTTGGAACAGCAGCCAGGGCTCAGACAGGCTGAAGGGGGAGAGGCTGTGGTACCTCATGCCCCCCATGCCCTAGCAGAAATGTACACGCATACAACCACACACAAAGGCGTGCAGGTGTATGCACACATAAACTCCCCTCCCCCTCATACACTCAAGCATTCCCACATACATACATCTTTCCCTCCACCCCTTCACACACAGGAAGGCATTTGCACACATGCAGGCCTACACATGCGCCCACACGCCTGGCACGGAGCCTGGAGCACACACGCGAGCACACACACACACAGGATGACACACTCACTGGCCTATAGGCTGCTTCAACTCTCGGGCTGTGCTATCCTTCCTGCCAACGCCTCGCCCCTCGGCACCCATGGGCACAGCTTTCTGTCCATTTCTAGAGATTCAGGACTTGCCTCGAAGTGGTATCTGACCCTAACACCTCTGCTTCCTGAAGTGAAGTCGGGAAGAGGGACTTTTATCCCTTAATGAGTCCTGCAAACACTGCCCAGCCCAAGGGAGAAGACAGCAAAGGACAAGCAGCCCTGATAACAGGGACGCTGGCAGCTGGAAGAGGACACCGTCTCTCTTGTTGCCGACAGTTCCCTGTTCAGGAGTCATCCCCGTGAAAACCCTCCTGGTACCCTGTGTGGCCAACCTAGAGTTTTGGATGGCCAAGGACAGGACATCGTGCTCCCTGCCCCTATTCTCCATCTGGGGGACAGAGAGAAAGGCTCTTGAGGAGTCGCGTTCGGATATGCTGCTCCACCGCTGGCCTCCTGCCAGCCAGTTTCACTGGGCCAGGCCACGGCCCTTCTTGGCCAAGACATGTCCAGACATGGTTGGGAAGAAGCAGCCAGGGTCCCCAGGGGCCAGTCTGTTCCTGGGGTAACTTTGCTTCCGGAGGAGGCCCACCCTGGCTGGCTGGCTGGCTGGCACAGTCCTCTCACGTGCAGCTGCCAGGCCAGGAGAGGTGACTTACTGCCCCCCCCGCCCCTCCCCCCCAGTCACTTAGAGCAGCTCCCGGGAAAGCCACAGATTTCCTCTCCCTGCCTAGTTCTGCTGCCCAGCCCCCAGTCTGACGACACCTCCTTGCCCGTCCCCTGGAACCCAGCAAGCACCCGGTTAGGTGGTCTGGGCTGGGGGGATCCAGAACAGAGACAGGGAACCTCAGAGCAACAGGGAGGGCCCGCGTTCCACCATGACACACCCACCTGGGAGCCCCTTCCTCCCCAACAGACCTGCCCCGGCCCGGCCCCAGTACGTGGCCCGGTGAGCGGGTCTGCCCTGCAGGGTCCCGGCCTCCTCACTCCGCATCAGGCCCCTGCCTCGTCCATCCCAACTCTGGGTCCCCGGCTGGGAGATCAAGACAGCACGGGGAGGAAGGATGCTAAGGCCCCGCAGGTGGAGCGGGGCGCAGCGCTCACGACCCAGGCCCCAGCGAGCAACAGGCTCGGCCCCCGCCACGGTGGGCTTTCTTACCGTGGCGTCCTCAGCGCCGTGGTGGCCAATGAGGCGGCTGCCGCCCGGGTGCCTCTTCGTCCAGCGGCTGATATCGTAGACCCGGCGCTCGATGACCAGCCACTTGTCGCCCGGCAAGTCGTGAGAGCGGATCTGCTCCCAGCGGAAGGTGGGCAGCGGCGCTCCCCGCGGGCCTGGTCCCTCACCGGGCTCCCCGACGCCGCCCATGGCTGCGCGCCCAAGTGTTCGAGACCCTGGATCTGTCCAGGCGAGGCCCGAGGAGACACAGCGAGACAGAGCGGGCCCGATGTCGCGGTCCCGGGCTGCCTCCGCCGCCACTAGCGCTGCGGCCCCGCCCCTGCCGTGCGGCCGCCGTACGAGCACGCACCGGCCGGTCTCGGCGCAGGAACTTTGCTTATAACCCCGCTGACAGCGCCCGCCCGCCCGCCGCCCGGCCCCCACGGGCGCCATTGGCTGCGCGGACCGGCCCCACCCTGGAGAGCCACTGCGGCCGGCCCTGGCCCGGGGCACGATCCTGCCCCTCCCACGACCAGGCTCCGGCTTGGCTGGCGCGGGGGCACGGGACCCATTGCACATCCCTGGCATCTGTCCCACAGAGCCCGACGCGGAGCCCGGATCTGCCACGGAGGGTCCTGGAATATCAGTCTGCAAGAATGGGCCGGGGTCCGACGCGCTTCCATCCGCGCGTCCTGGAACGTTCACTCCTTAGCGCACCGGAGGTGGGGACACTAGCTTTGGGTGACTGTAAACAGCCTTCAAAAAATGGACCTCCATTGTCTGCGCGGCAAGGCGGCCGTCAGGGCGGGAGGGACTGGTCCCGCCACGCAGGCCGGCGCAGCCCTCGACTGGGGACCGGTGGTGATGGCTTCTGTCACCGGGGCTGCAGGGACGGCTAAGCAGCGGGCACTGGGGGCAGGGGGAGGGAAGGCGTGCAGGTATGGGGGGGGGGCGCTAGAGCCGCGGGTAACGTAGGGAATGCTCACTGGGTGGCTTGCTAGTTACCCTTATCCCCCCATTTTTTACTTAAGTCTTTTCATAGCGTAGGTAGCTCCTCCAGATCGCTCTGTATTTTTTTGATAAAGATTCAGAAAGTTCAGAAAAGAATTCACAACCACCAAGAACAGGGTGGGGCTAAGGTTATCTTACCATCCAGAGCTTTTGCGTGCTATGGAGTCAATTCTAACTCACAGTGACTCCATAGGATGCAGTACAACTGCCTCAGGATTTCCAGAGTGGTGGATTCGAACCACCAACGTTTTGGTTAGCAGCCTGGGCTCTTAACCGCTTCACCACTAGGGCTCCACCAGCAAGAGCAGTGGTTATCAAATAAGAATCACCTGGAGGGTCTAAGACACAGCTTGCTGGGCCCATCCCTCAGAGTGCCTGACACAGTGGGTCTAGGTTGGGCCCCAGGATTGGCAAGTTCCCAGGTGATGCTGATGTGCTGGGCTATACTTTGAGACCTCCAAGTCTATTTCTCTGATATGCTCATATTTTATCTGGTCTACTAATTTGTAGACAATCATTGTAGCCAGTATTTGTGCAACAGGTGAGCCAGGGCCAGCAGAAGGGGAGTGGAGGGCTCTGGTTCTTCTAGAGACCTCCATGAAAGCCCCCGTTTGGTTGCCAGGACAACTGGCAAGTCCCTTGACATCACCATGCCCTTGGGTGCATGTGTTTCCTGGAGAGGACCAGCGGCAGCCCAGACCCCGGGTGCCTGCAGGCACTCCTGCCCCCCATGCTCACACACCGGCACAGGAATGGGAAGGGCAGCTTCGGGAGGAAACAGGCCTTCTGGCCAAAATCCAGCCCCTCTGTATCTGGCCGTAGCTGGCGCCCCACCTTCAGGGGCCCTCCATAGTTAGTTGTGACCCAGCTGGGGGCCATCTAGGGGCTACTTCCCTGGGGCAGCTGCTTGGGAACCTGGGCCCTGGCCAGATCTCAGACCACACGTGTGTGTGTGCATACATGCATCCATGTACGTGCATGTGTGTGTGTGTGTGAGACAGAGAGAGGCAGTTGGGCAGGGGATAATAATGTCCTGGATAGGGCCCCCCAGTGGGTGAAGCAAGGACAGCCCCTGGGCCATGCCACCTGCTCCAGCCACTTCATCGCAGCAGGAGCAGAGGTAGTCCTGGCTTCCTGCCGCCTGGGGTTGTGTGTTCCTGGTTTCTCCTGCCCACAGCCCAGGATGCACGGCTCCCCCGTTATTTCCCTGCAGGCCCTCAGGCCTCCGGGCATCACTTGGCTTCTTTGGGCTTCCATGCAGTGGGTCTTGCAACTTTCAGGGCATGAGGCAGCCTGGGAGAGCTTGAGACTCCTTTGTCCCCAAACCCCAACTCCGGGCAGCCGAGGTCCCTCAGACCACTTTGAAAGGGAGAGGCCTCACTCGACATTCCTCAGCTGCCATGGGGCCACTGCCAGGGTGCTGGGTTTAGATGGGGTGGGGGGAGCTAGCGAAAAGGCCAGGAAGGGTCTGGCCAGCCAGAGCATTGGGGTGGGGGGCTTGACTTCTGCGCCTACCCCGGTCCCTGCTGCACTCACTTGGGCCTACCTTCTGCCTGCCATGAGCTGCCACACAGGCCTCTTGTTGGACACATTGAAGTCTCCACCCCCTATGGAGCCACCAGCCACAGTCCCAGAGCCAAGTGATGCTTGTGCAAAGCCAGCAGGGCTCTGGCAAGGCGGAGAGCTACAGCGGTGGCTCAGTTGGGCAAACTCAAGAAAAATCTCGGCCTATCAGAAAGAGCGGTCCCAAAGCCCAGGCATTTGTTCTGCTGCAGACACGCAAATCTGGCTCAAGTTAGAGCTTTGTGATTTGGCATTGAGTTGAAGCTCATCATGCCACGGGCTCGATTTTCAGGCCTGGACACAACCCTTCTGAGACAGGAGGTGCCTGGGGAGGCAGGGGCCATAAAATTAGGCAAGAGCTGTTTGGGGCCATTTAGGGGAGGAACCACAGCCCTACTGGCCACAAAAGACCCTGAAGGCAGCACTGCAGAGCTCCTTCGAACGTTAGAGTAAAAAGGGGCTGCAAAGGCCATTTAGCCCAATCTTCCCAATTCACAGATGAGAAAAACTGAGGCCCAGAGAGGAGTGACTTGCCCCAGGTACAAACCCTGGCAGGATTCAAATCAAGATGGACTTGGCAGATTGTAAAGTGTGACCCAGTAGGAGCGATTCCTTCCTGTTGTTCATAAGGCCAATGTGCAACTGGGCTCACGCTCAACGCCCTCCACCCTCAGAAGCCTGAGGCTCCTGCTGGCTTTTAAGAGGAAGGTTAAAATGGTTCACATGTGCCCGGGGCACTTACAGGCCTCAGTGGGTTATCTAGAAAATTCACTTAAGAGGAACAACTCCTGTGTGGATCATCCACAGTGGATGATGTCAGCTCACCCTCCCCACCCACCTCCCAAGCCCTGAGCAGCTCCGGAGAGGACCCCCTCGCCCCCAGCAGAGCAGGGGTGGGGCGGCTGTGAGGGGATCAAGAATGTGGGAAACAAACCTAGATTCAGCTTCTAGCTCTGCCACTGCCTGAGCCTCATGTTATGGATTGAATTGTGTCCCCCAAAAATATGTGTTGTAAATCTTAACCCCTGGACTTGTGGTGGGAGACCTGGTGGCGCAGTGGTTAAGCACTCGGCTGCAAACTGAAAGGTGGGCAGTTTGAACCCACCAGTCGCTCCGTGGGAGAAAGATGTGGCAGTCTGCTTCCGTAAGGACTATAGCCTTGGAAAGCCTATGGAGCAGTTCTACTCTGTCCTATAGGGTTGCACTGCTCTACAGCAGTGGGTTTTTTGGTATTCGTGGTTGTAATCCCGTTTGGGAATGGGTTTTCTTTGCTGTGTTAATGAGGCCATATCAGTATAGGCTGTGTCTTCAGGCAATCACTTTTGAGATATACAACAAGCAGACAGGCACAGAGCAAGCAGAGATGGGGGAAGAGTGATGTCATGTCACATAAGGATCGAAAAGGAAAAGCAGCTGAAGAGACAAGGACCTTCCCCCAGAGCAGAGACAGAAAGCCTTCCTCCAGAGCGGGCACCCTGAATTCGGACTTCTAGCCTCCTAAACTGTGAGAAAATAAATTTGTTCACTAAAGCCACCCCAAATCAAAACCAAACGCATTGCTGTCAAGTCAATTCCGACTCATAGCGACCCCACAGGACAGAGTAGAACTGGCCCATGGGGTTTCCAAGACTGTAATCTTTATGGAAGCAGACTGCCACATCTTTCTCCCATGGAGGGGTTGGTGGGTTCGAACCACCGACCTTTTGTTTAGCAGCCAAGCGCTTAACTACTGCGCCACCAGGGCTCCTTTAAAGCCACCCCCTTGTGGTATTTCTGTTATAGTGGCATAGTTACTAAGACACCTGTTTCTCCACTTCTTAACAAGAAGAAAGGGCCTGATTCAGTGCTAGGCACCTCCTACCCATAAAAAAACCCACTGCCATCGAGTCGATTCTGACTCACAGCAACCCTGTAGGACAGAGTAGAACTGCCCCATAGGGTTTCCAAGGAGCAGCTGGTGGATTTGAACTGCCGACCTTGTGGTTAGCAGCTGAGCTCTTGACCACTGTGCCACCAGGTGTTCAGTAAAAGGAGTGTAGGATGCTGGGTAATACCGTGGGCTCTAGGGTTAGGCTCCTTCATTCTTATCCTGGGGCCACCATTTCCTCTGTGGGACCTCAGTGCCACAGTCTATTCATCTGCAAAATGGGGATGACAATTAGTGGGGATTAAAGGAACTAGTTCATTTAAAGGGCTTAGAACCATGCCTAGCGCATAGTAAGTGCTCAGAGATTAGCTATGGTCTGGGGACACAGAGGCCAGAGTGTGTGTCCTTTGGACCCTCACACCTCCAGGTGTCTCACTTATCTGCTTGCTCTCAATGGCTCCCCCCTTGAGGCTGACAATAGGAAGGGGCAGGCAGAGCAACTCTGGGGTGGGGGATCTCCAACCAGGCCTCCCAAGTGTTAGTGGATGTCTCCTTGGTTCTGGATAAGGCTGGACCAGGGGCCCAGAAGCTGAGGACAAGGATGGGCAGCTCCAGGGCCCAGACTGTCATCCCCATTCAGCTCCCAGATGACCCAGGGTTACCACAGTAGGACAGAAAGATTTGTTGCAGAGGGTGGGGGACTCTTCCCTGGCACCCCCATTGCCTTCCTTGCCGTCCTTTCCTCCTACTGACACACTGGATATGTGACTTAGTTGTTTTTTGTTGTTTTTTTTTAATTGCCAGTCTCCCCACTTGAGAGTATAAGCTCAAGCACCAGGTGTCCCCATCCAGGGACAGTGTTTGGCACTTAAGAGTGGCCCAGTATTTGGTCACTGAATGAATGGACTTGTATGACAGGGGTCCTAGCCAGTGAGCCCTAAGGGTACTCGGGAGACTGGGTGGGGATGCAAGTCCCAGATGGAACAGGGAAGGGGTTCTGGGAGGAGGGGAAAGGAGAGGGTGGGGAGGAGGGGTGGGAACCTGGGCTGAGGCTTTGGAGGGGGGAACTCAGGGGGGCAGGAGACCTCTTGGGAAAAGGCTACTGGCTGGAGAGGGTGGCAGGGGAGAGGCCACGACAAGGGGTCCTGGCCAGCCTGCAGCCAGCCGGACCTACCAGTCATGTGGCCCTGAGGCCACAGACCAATGGGGAAGCCCCCTCAAGGTGTCACCAGCCCCAGAAGGCACTGGCCCAGAAGCTGCCGGGCCCCGCAGGAAGGGCACCCACAGGTGGGGAGGGTCAGCCACCACAAGATACCTCCGCAACCCCGCCCAGTGTCCACAGAGGACCTGGCCACCCCACCTTCTACTTGTGACCACTGCCCCTTACTAAGAACCTATCTAGGCCCAGGGCTGGGAAACGCAGAGCCTTCAAGCCACCACAGCCCTGCCTGCTCTGCTGCCAGACATCACCAATCAATCCTGGACACTCTGATTCTGAGCGCCAGGCTTTGGCTGTGTTAGCCTGGAGTTGGCCCGGAACCCCTTCAGCAGAGAGCAAGGAGACCCAGGGAGGGGCAGTGGCCAAACCAGCCTCAGCACGTCCTCCCAGACAGCAGGCCACTCCTCATGGGGAGAGAGACGCCAGTAACTCCCAGCCCCACAGAACACTGAGGAAGGCCTGCTCGAGCAGTGAGTGGTGGGATGCAGGAGCCTCCAGGATTTGAGTTTAATCCCAAGCATGAGGGCGGGCAAGGGAAGGATTTAGTTTCATTTCTTCAAATGCTGAGGCCTTGGCCCCAGCCCCAGCAAGCAGAAGTGAAGGCATGTGGCAGTCCGGCCCCTACCAACAAAGCTGTCCTTTATTAAATAGAGATCGCATTACATTCCACTCAGAGAAGGAAATCCGGACATGGTGAGGGACATGTCCAGGCTGGAGCCCCTAACCCTGGGCCTGAGTGGGCTGTGAGGGTGAGGCAGGGCCCAGCTCCTGCCCGTCCCACCCGGCCCCTCCTGCAAGGCCTGGTGACCTCAGCCACCCTTGTCTGCATGGCCACCCACTGCTGAAAATAGGAGTGGGCGTCCTGAGGCTTGTCCTTGGGGAGAAAAAGCGCCCCAGGGCCTCCCGGAAGCACGAGGCGGAGACTGGTGAGGGAAGGAGGAGGGGTCCTGACTCATCTTAAGAATCTCTAGGGGCAGTTCTCAACCATACACAGGTTGCAGTAGAGAGGGTATGGAGGTCCTGTCATCCCCTCCCAGCCCTGCTGCCTCACTGGTACTTGGGACAGCAGGGGACACTGGGGAAGGGTGATGGCAAGGCCAGGGCTGGTCTGGGGCACTCAGTCTAACGGGGAGGCCACCTGGGAACGGGGTAAGGGATGGCTACAAAGGGGTGCTTGTGGCCCAGGGCTTCGGAGTTGGGGTGCAGAATATCCGGGAGATCTGGCCACCCCTAGGCAGCTCCCTTTCAGAGGACGTGGCAGCAACAAGGCACCGGGACCGGGAGGGGTGCTGGCTGCCCCGGGTGTCCCTCCCAGGGCTAAGCCTCCTGAGTATGGCTCCCAGCATCTCCATCCTTGGTGCCTTCTGAAAGTCTCCGGTGGGCTGTGGAACCCAGAGGCTAAGAGAGAAGGGTCGCCTCTGTCTGTCCTGAGACAAGTGCTTGGTGCTGGCTCAGTGCTGCCTCTGGGGCCTGGCATTTGTCTGTCCTGGGGCAGATGTTTGGCTTCTGGCTCAGGGCTGGCTCCAGCACTCTGTCTTCATGTCTGTCTGTCCATCCTGGTGCAGGTGTCTGCTCCAGCTTAGAGCCCCCCTCCAGGCCACGCCACGCCCTAGACCTCCTGGGGGAAGAAACCTAGCTTGGCCAGCGACATCTCCTTCCGCAACCTCGTGACCTCCCAGAACATGGGCTCCGCTGCGGGCAGAGAGAGGGTGACAGCTGAAGAACAGCTCAGGCAGATGCCTGGCCCCTCCCCTGGCTTCTGGACAGGGCAGCTGGTGCTGTGCCCTTGGGCTTCCCCAGCCCCAGGACAGACGGCCTCTGGGCTTTGGGACACTCCAGCCCTGATCTGTAACATGGCTGCAGGGCGTTTCCAGGAAGGATGAGAGTGCGGTGTGAGAGCACCTTGGAAACTGTTGTTGCGTGCTGAACACATGCAAGGGACGTGCACTGCACTGGTGGAGGAGGTGATGGGGGAGGTGATGGCACCCACACCCTGACACAGACGCCAAGCCCATGATGCCACACTCATCAGTAATGACCCCGGGTCGGGAGCCACACTTAGTAGGTCCCGGAGCAGCGGGCAGGGCCACAGCGTCCAGCCAGGTCCCTGCAAGGTGGCAGCCCCTCAGGCCCATGCCCTGGCCTGGCATGTGTCAATGCCCTGTGTGCACTGGCCTTGGCCTTGAAGGGAAAGCTGACCCCATGTTCGGGAGGGGCAGCTCGTTATGCAGAGGCTCAGGCTGCAAACCGCTGGGAGAACAGTCACCAGGGAACAGAATTCAGCCAAATGAGCGGGAGGCCAGGCCTCACAGAGTGGCAGACGGGGGGCCTGCCACGAGGGGGAACGGGGGAGCAAAGCCCTGGGGGCAGGAGGGGCCTGCGTGCAGGGGACACCAGGTGGCCACACCGTGTGGGGATCATGGAGCCTGGAATGCGGGCCAGTCACAGGGCGCTGTCCCCACAGGGCCTGGGATTTGGGAGAGTATTCTGGCAGAAGAAACAGCAGCCCTGCCCAGAGAGTGGGAGGCATGGGGCTGGCTTCCCGAGTTCCTTACAGGAGACAGGACAGGGCCCAGGTGGCTCCTTCTGCAACTCATATCCTCACAGAATTCAGCACCCAGGAGGTCCACCAGCCCTGCACTAACCCACAACAGGCCCCCTGGCTGGCCTTCCAGCTGGGGATTCCCAGTCCAGGGGTCCCGGCCTCTGACAGGGGGCTGTAGAGCGGCTCAGGTAGACCCAGCCCCCGCCTCCCTCTCCTGGGTGCCATCCCTCTGCCAGCCACCAGGGGGCGCTCACCATCCTGCCGCACCAGGCCTTGCTGGATGTATCGGATGTAGGTGAAGAAATTGCACACTGCTGTGATCTGAGGGCAGAAGGGAAGGAGTGTGACCAGCCAGCCCCTCACCTCCAGGATCCCCCAACAAGCCAAGCTGGATCTGAGGCCAGAGCTGGGAGCCCCATGTTCCTGTCAGAGCCAGAAAAAGCTCTCTGAGTCGGAGAGGACTGCCTGTTTTAATTAACAACAGCAATACCACTGCCATTAAACTAGTTGCCATGGAGTGGACTCTGACCCATGGCAACCCCGTGTGTGTCAAAGCAGAACTGTGCTTCATAGGGTTTTCAGTGGCTGATTTTTGGGAAGTCAACGCCAGACTTTTCTTCCTAGGCACCTCTGGGTGGACTCGAAACCCCAACCTTTTGGTTAGCAGCATTAACTGTCTGTACCACCCAGAGACTCTAGAAATACTCCTTCTCTTCCTAATAACAGCAACAGTGGCAAGTGACATGTAATCACGCACATATATCAAATGAGGCAGACTTGCTTATCAGCCCTACTTTACATGCAGGGAATACTGAGGCTCCAAGAATGGAGCTCAGTGACTGCAAAGATCACAGAACTAGTAAGTGGACTCTCCTCCCAGGGCCCCCTTCCACTAAGCTGGGGAGCAGTTGGCCAGTAAGGCTCCCAGATGCCCCTCTCTGCACCCCCTGCCCCTGCAGACCTGAGTCACCGACTGACTGGCATGGGTGTTAAAAGGCAGGCCCCTGGCCTCGGGCTGCAACCCAGTCTGTGCTCCCCAGGCCCTGTGGATCAGACTGACGCTAGACTCCAGCAGAGGCCACACCCTTGCTGGCTACCCCTTTGCCCCCCACCCAATCCCACTTCCCTCACTCCGCCCTCTGAGAGCTGCACAAAATCTCCATCCTAGGCTCTGCTTCCAGGGAACCCGGCCTAAGAGAGGGTGGAAGGGGGCTGGCAGCTGTGCCCACAGCCCCTACTGAATGCCCAGTGCTCCTCAGGGGGATGGCAAGTGTGGGGGAACACAGGCTGGGGAGAGGAGAAGCTGCACAGATGGGACAATGCTCTGGCTGGACCCTCAAACACACGGGACAAAGTGGGGGGCTGGTGGCCCTGGCACAGGCAGGAAGGTGAGAGGTGGTGGGATCAGCATGAGCCTGGTGTGACCAGTATACAGGGGACTGCATGGGGGGATCTAGGAGAGGCCAGGGTGGGAGGTGCTGGGGTGCCAGGCCAGGATGGCACAGTGTCTCTCCAGTGACAGTGGGGGCGCATGGGAGGGTCATGGGCAGGGAGGAGGAGGAGGTGGTGGAGCTGTCCCCCCAGGGCTGTGCTTTGAGGAGAGAATGTGCCTCTCCCTGTTGACTCCACAGCCCCGTTTCTGTCTCAGGGCAGGGGGAGGTAGACCACATCTGAAAACCTCAGGCCCTTCTCTTCTCTCCCAGCCCCAGCTCTGCCCAGCACAGTCAGACACACAGGCCTGGGAGAAATCCAGTGCTAAATGTAATGTCATTTTGCTAACCATGGAGATGCCTTGCACTCTGGCCCTTCTTTTGAGCTCTGATTGGGATGGGGACCCAAGGCTCTGGCCACAGGTCCAGGGGGCAGGGGGTCGTAGCATAAAGACACAAATTCAGAGTCGGGAGATCCAAGGTCTTGGCAGGGTGGCTCCAGGCACACCCCTTACCCTCTCTAAGCCTCCAACTCCCTTCCGGTAAACGGGAGCTCCTCGCACTGCTGGCAGAACTGACCACTGACAAGGATGACACACTTGAGTGCCCTGTGGTCCAACCCCACCATGGCTGTACCACTTCGGCTCCTGCCCTCACTGTCCAGTCTGCTGCCCGATGATCGGGCCACTGTGTCCACTTCAGCCCTTCTTCCCCACAGGGAGCTTTAGTAGGTCTGAGGGGAGGAGACGGCTCCTCATGAAGGACCTGTTGACATCACGGCATATCACTTTTACACCAAGCTTCAGAGTTTTCCAAACATGTTCACTTTCGTCTCTTTCAATCCTAACAGTCTATGAAAGGTGCCCTGGTGGTACAACAGTTGAGTGCTTGGGTGCTAACCCAAAGGTTGATGGTTCAAACCTACCCGTAGCTCCATGGGAGAAAGGCCTGGCGATCTGCTTTCATAAAGATTACAGCCTAGAAAACTCTATGGTTTACTGGAAAGGGGTCAGAGGCTTAGAAAGGGTAAAGGGTGTACCCAAAGCCCCACCACATAGGGCCATTCTACTCTGTCACATGAGGTTGCTATGACTTGGAATCGACTCAATGGCACCCAACAACAACAGTCTATGAGGGGGACAGAGAGATGGAAATCACCCGTCTTCAACACCCAGCTCAGTGAGGTGACCTGACCCGGCCTGCATCACACAGCAGGTGAGAGCAGAAGCTGGGATTCCTGGAGGCCCTTCACCACCCACGGCCAGCCATAGGCTTGGATGACACTCCTCCAGACCTTCTCAAAAACCTCAGCTGGAGCCAGAGCCTGAGCCTGGGAGTTTAGAGCTGAGAGCTTTACGTGGGCCAGGTATCATTCCCTTGATTGGGCGATAGGTGTCACTTTTGTGACCACATTTCACTCTGTAAGACTGTATCTTAGCAGACTGGAGAGAGACACAGAGAGAGAGACACTTTCCCTTACTGGCTTTGAAGAAGTGAGCTGCCAAATTATGAGAGGGCCACATGGCGGGGGGCTGTGGGCAGCCTCTAGGAGCTGTGAGGGCCCTGGCTGACAGCAGCAAGAAAAGAGGAACCTCAGTCCTACAACCACAAGGGACTAAATTCTCCCAACCATCATTTAAGTTCAGAAGAAGACCTTGAACTCTGGAAAAAAATGCAGCCTGGCTGACATGTTGACTTATGAGACCCTGACCAGGGGACTTTATAAGACCCAGGGCAGACAACCCAGTGAAGGCACGCCTGAACTCCTGACTGACCCACGGAAACCGTGAGATCATAAATGTGTTGTTCTAAGCCACTAAGCTATGTTAATTTCTTACACAGCAATAGAAAACTAACCCACTAGGTTTGCTGTGTGGCCCCAGTCAGTCTCTACCCTTCTCTAAGCTTCTCTGCCCTGCTCTGTAGATTGAGCCATAGTCCTGGTTGTGCTCCCCAGCCTGGGGCCCAGAGTCCCAGCCCAGGTGGACCCTAGGGAGCCAAGCAGTGCCCCCAAAGGCCAACTCACCCTGGCCCGGGAGGATGGCGAGATGTAGTAGTGGCTGTCAGAGTCACCAAGCCGGATGCGGTGGCGGCAGGTGCGGGCCAGCCCGCTCAGGGCACACGTGCTGGGGGAGGGGAAGCAGAGAGGACCATGGGCGGTCCGCTGGGGGCTCACCCATCTCATGCAGTTTGGATGCAGCAGCCAGAAGGGTGCACAGGGAGGAGCAGGCAAACGTGGGTGCGGGCCTGGCATCCCCTCCCCCATCCAGCTTCAGAAGGAGCCCAGGGCTAGGCCAGAGTTGGGGGCAGCCCCAGCAGTCCCTGGGATAGACCTTTAAGCCAAGCTGGACCCTACTCCTAGACCCCTCACCTCACCCCTCTTGAGCAGGAGAGCTTGGCCAACCTCATGGCATGTGCACCAAAGCCCCACCCTCTGCAGCCCCTAAAAATGGCCCCCTACACTTAATGGGACACCTCAGACTCAGTCACCCCTCAACCCTTCCCAGCCCCAAGGCACTTATCTGCCTTGTCCATCCAACCCCCACTTACCCCAGTAGCCCTCCATGGCTCTCTGCTGTCTGTCAACCAGCCCCCACAAAGATCCCCATCCTGATTCACCTTCTTACCTCACCCCAGGCCTGGGACCTCATATGGATCTTCAGCCGCCCATGTGGCCCTCCAAAAGGTCTCCACCTGAGCCATACTCATACATCCTGGCCCTTCGCTGGTCTCTGGCTCCACAGACAACACCAGTCTCATCTAGCCTGCTGCTCTCTGATCCTCACCCCCTACTTGGTCGCCAAGTCCCCAGGCTGGGTCATGCCAGCATGGATCCCCTCAGCTCCTCCCAACCAACCCCTCTGCTTCCAGTCCCGCCGCCTCTTCTCCACGCTATGGCTGGGTCTCCTCCAAAAACCCACATCTAGGCCATCATTCTCCCCTGCTGCCCTCCTCCTGCCCAAGTAAAAAAGGTTGGCTGCAGGACTTATCAGAACCTTTATTGTTTCTAGGTGCACTGTGACTCTCTGATGTGACCAGGAAGCCTTCTTTTCAGAGATACCTATTGATGATCTCTGAAATGCTGGCCTAGAGGGTTAAAGCCCAAACCTTATTCAAGGCCCTTTATAATTGGGCCCCAAACACCCCCTGCACACTGAGTCCTAACTCCCTGCCTACCCCACTGCTCTGCCCACTGACCCAGTGGTGTTTCCAGTAATACTCCAGCTTCTCATACCTTCACTCATTCTGTTCCCTCTTCCTGAAAGGTCCTTCTCTACTTGGCAAACTGCTATTTACTCTTCAAAACCTGGCTCAAAAGTTCCCTCTCCGTGATGAGGTTCCCACCACGGCGCCTACCCTCCCAAGTGAGATCTTGGCTGCTAAGTCCTCCCCAATCTCTGCCCCTTGCTCGACCCTGGATATTTTGTTCTGCTACTACCCCTGCTCAATGCCAGCTGAGTAGCAGGAGGCCAAAATGCCAGGGCTGTTAGGTTATTAGCAAGAAGCAGAGCCAGCACCTGACATCAGCTGTCAACTGGGGCCTGGAGCCCACCATGGGAGAGAGGAGGAAGGGACGTATGTCAGCCAGCCAGAAAAGAGGGAGACCACAGCCCAGGACTCCCTGGAGAGCTCGGGGGTCCATGACTGGAAGCAGGGAGTTCTGCCAAAGATTCTCCTTGTCCTGTATGGGTGAGATGTCCCCATACTCCCAGGCCCTGGCCAGCTTGGACACTACAGCCCATGTGCACCTTCGGGTCTCACACCAGGACTCCAGGAAGCTGGCCCGAGACTCAGTCTTCCCTGGCTACCACTTTAGTGGAGCCCAAGGCTCGGCGGAGCCTTCCCCAGTGGGCAGAGATGGGCTGAATCATTAAGCTTACTTGGCGCTGCCACACTCGACTGCAGCCACCTTCACCGCGGGCAGCGTCTGTGGAGCCACAGGCTCGATGGTGAGCGTGTTGTCCTCCACGGCGGCCCGCACCAGTGCTGAAAGCTGCAGCAGACAGGAGGCAGGTGGAGTGGTGAGGGGCTGGGCTCTTGCTTCGGGGCTGGGCCCCCACCCGCCACCTGGGCCCCACTCACCTCCTGCGTCGTGAAGTCCAGGCAGGGGCCCACATCCTCCCGGTACACCCTTTCCAGGAAAGGGGAGGTCTTGTCCAGGGTAGGTGACTCCCTCCAGGCCTGGAACTCTGCAAATAGGGTCGTGTCCACCTGTGGGAAGGGTGGGCCGGGGTGGGGGGCAGTCAGGGTTTTGGGGCCCCGGACAGCACAGGCAGGTGAAGAGGAGGAGAGGGGCCGGGGAGGGGGCAGGGCAGGCCCCCAGCATGCCAGCAGGTCTGTGCCCAGTGGCCATGCAGCTGAGCCGAGTCTGAGGTTCCCCAGTAAGTACTTCCTTCTTCCCCTTGCTCCAGAGAATTCAGAATGAAAAGTGACATATTCATGTGGATTTTAAGGTTCTGGGCACACTACAGGGTTCCTGGGATCCCCTCCCCATTTTTTTAATCTACAGGTGAAAGAAAGAGAACCACCTGGAGGTAAGGATGCTCGAGAGCTCCCAAGGAAAGGGTGCCAGCAGAGCAGCCCCAGGTGGCGGTCATGTTGCAGGCAGACTTGAGCCTGAGGCCTGGCCCTGAAGACCCTCCCCTCAGTGCCTCCTTGAGGAGGAAAAGTTGAAGGGCAAACCTCAGGTCCACGCAGGTCCACACAAGGACGTGCAGCACACACAGGCACATTCACACAGGAGGGGATGCACCCAGGCTACCCCTGCTGCCCACCCCAGGGGGTGGCTCATCGGCCACCCTGGCGCATGCAGAGAGCCAGGCCGGGGAGGGCAGAGGCGCCGCCCTGCTCAGGAGCCATTACCTGGCGGGAAAAGGAGAGAGAGGTAGCAGAGGTGGGAGTGGCGGGCGGCTCCCCGGGTGGGAGCTGCCAGGCCGGCTCGTAGGTGAGGTGGACTGCCCTGCTGGGGACCACGCAGAGGAGCAGGGAGAGGAGGGGGAGCAGCCCGGGCTGGGCAGGCCGGGGCAGCGGGGCAGATGGACAGACAGATGCAGAGAGACAGACAGGAGGAAGGAGGAGATGTTAGTGTCCAGTCAGAAGCTCAGAAGGGGGACAGAGGCTTCCCTGTGCAACTCCGGGGATCTAGGGGGTCAGGTTGTGCCCTGGCGGGAGAGGGGCAAGACTAACGCCTCCTCCCTGGAAGCCCTGGAGTCAGAGGACAGGGCTGAGTTTGGGGGCAGGCTTGGTGTCTGTCAGAGACCATCAGAAGCAGAATTCCACCATATCCCTTCTGAGGGTTCAAGAGGTACAGCCCTGAGCTGAGCTCTCGGCATCCGAGTCCTGTCCATTCCTCAGAGGGCCACGTGAGGCCCCGCTTACCACTGAGGAAACCAAGGCGCTGAGAGGTGGCCCCACTTGCCCAAGACCACAGCCATTAAGCACACCTCAGCCCATGAGCAGCCTGGACCAACGACCCCTGCACCCCACTGAGGGGAGGGTGACCGCTCCTCCAAAGGCCATGCTTGTCCCAGTGCCACAGCCAGGGGGCACTGAGGACCACCGTGCACAGGGGTGTCCCCGGGTGATCCTGGGCCTCAGGGCAGGGGGCCTCACAGGGCCCGGACAACCTCTCCCCAGAGGCCCAGCGGCCTCTGCCCAGCCTCTTCAGGCCCCAGGGCAGACCCTCAGGGCCACACGTAGCCCCTATGCAGTCACGCCACACAGCAGAGAGCACCACATTGTGCGGAGCAGCAGGGCAGGGTGGGGGTTATCAGAGCCTCCAGATTACATACACCCCCGAGACTGGGAATGAAAGCCCTCAGGTCTCAGAAGCCAAAGGAGAAGGAACAGGCACAGCCCTCGTGGCCACGAAGAGGCCCAGAGAGGGGCAGGACAGGCTCTGGGACACACAGCAAAGGGTCAGGCTCTGACCCTACTGACAGCAGGCATTGCACTCTCCTTTCCTATGTCCACCGCCCGCTGCACCCCTCACCTCCTTGCCCTCCCTGTCCGGGGCGAGGGCGTGTCCTGCTGCCGGGCACATGACCGGGCAGAGGGCGCTGCTGGTGCTCTTGTGACGGGAGTGGCCCTTTCGGGGTCCGGCCTTGGTGGGGCTCAGCAGCTGTGGGTGGAGCTCACGGTTGGGAGAGGCTGGTGTGGATGTGATGACAAGGGTCTTCAAGGCTGTCACCTCCGCCTGCAGCATGTCGATCTGGCCACGACAGGATGGCCCAGGGTTGATGCCGCCACAGCTGCCACCGCCCTCTGGCCCAGCTCAGATCCAGCACCTAACCCCTGCCTGTCACCCTTAGAGCAGCCTTCCAGGTGGGGACTGAGATGCCTATTTTACAGGGAAACTGAGGTTTAGAGAAGAGATGTGATCTGTCTACTAGTGCATGTCTGGGAGCTGGCAAGCCATTGATTGCTCTGGGCCCCCCCCCCCCAAGCCAGGAACAGCCCAGCCCTCCCATTTTCGAGGGACAAACAGCTCAGCTCACAGGACCAGTCTGGGGTTTCTGCTTTGTAAGGGAGGAACAGCAGAGGGGAGAGAGGAAATTACCATACCCACAGGACTCTCCAGCCCCTGCAGGGCCCCAGCAAAGACACTGCTTGGAGTCCCACCCCAGTCAGCTGCCCTCACCTGCACGGTCTCAGACGCACCCACCCCTCTGGGCCCCAGTTTGCCCATTTCTGCTGACCCCACTGGGCCGTGGTGACAATCCCACTTGGTCCCGAAGGCAAGTACTCCTGGGGCTGGGCGGCAGGGGGGAGCTCCAGACTGGCCTCACCTTTCCCCGTGCCTCCTTCAGTTGCTTCTCTGACGCTGCCTGCTTCATATTGGCTTCTCGAACCATCTTGTGGGCTTCCTGGGAAGAGGGGCGGGCTCTGGGTGAGTGGCGAGGAGGTGCAGGGTACCCTATCCCCAGCCTAGCCCCTCAGCTGGCGCACCTCAAACAGGCTGGCCGTCAGCTCCTCCAACTCTTGTTCCAACTGCTCCCGCACCTTGGACAACCTCTCACACTCTTCATCCTTTAGCTTCAGCTCCTGGGGGTGCAAGGCAGGCACTGTCAGCCCCCCAGGGTCCTGGGCCTGGCACTGGAGGCCCCAGGCCCATCTGACCAGGCTCAGGGACCGAGTATACTTTCTTTGTTGCCTGACAGTCTACGATCCATTTTCCATTTAGCTCATAGCATGAGCTTGAAAATACTGTCAGTCCATTAGTGCTTGGAACAGGTTTTTACAGAAGACTTCTAAAAGTGGTTTTAAAGTCACACGATATAAGTGGTTACCAGGGGCTGGGAGGAAGGGGGAAGAGGGAGTTATTGCTGAAAGGATATTGAGTTTCTGTTGAGGGTGATGGAAAACGTTTGGAAGTGGATAGCGGTGATGGCTGCACAACGTGGCGAATGTAATTGCTGTCGTTATTGTTGTTAGCTGCTGTCGAGTCAGCCCGACTCGTGGTGACTCCCACACACAATGGAACAAAACGTTACCTGGTCCTACACTATCCCCATGACGGGTTGCACATCAGACCATTGTGATTCATAGGGTTTTCACTGGCAGATTTTCAGCAGATTGCCAGGCCTTTCTTCCTAGTCTCTTAGTCTGAAAGCTCTGCTGAAACCTGTTCAGCATCATAGCAACACACAAGCCTCCACTGACGGATGGTGGTTGCGCATGAGGTGCGTCGGCCGGAAATCGAACCTGGCTCTTCTGCATGGAAGGCGTGAATTCTACCACTGACCACCAACAACTCTGAATGTGATTAATGTCACTGACTTCTTAGTGGGAGCCCACGGCTCTCCCTCCTGGGCAGGGCCCCCTCCGAAGACCTTCGCCCTGCCCTCAGGCCCCACCTTCTGGGCTTTGTGCAGCTCCTCCTTCAGGAACTCCGAGCCCTTCTCACGGATCTCCACAGAAGAGCTTCGGAGGCGGGACACGTCCAGCTGGGTGGCTGCAGGGCCCTCCTCTCCTTGGGCCTCCTCCCCTGCAGAGGTGTCCGACAGGGCTCCCGGGGACTCCCTGCGCCCTCTGCAGAGGCCAGCGTTCTTCCAGGGGCCTGGGACAGCCCCAAGGGGCGGTGGGTGGCCCTCCTCTGCAGGGGGCTGGCTGTGAGGCAAACAAGGGCATCAGCACTTGCAGGGTGGGGTCCTGAGATCTGGAGAGCTGAACCCAGGGACAACCCTGGGCAATGTACTCACCCTTCTGGGCCTCAGTCCACCCACCTGTAAAAGGACACCACCAGCTATAAGCAGGGTTGTCACAGGGGCAGAGTGACCAAGCACAAGGCCTCTTGGGGGCATGGAAAGGGCTCATTCATCTGTGTCAACCAGGGCCTGGGGCTGTCTGTGCTTGGTGCACAGTAGGTGGTCAGCACACAGTAGGTGCTCCATTTGTGTCTGTCTAACACATGACTCTCGATGCATAATGTTGAGAATCAGAGTCTCCATTCCTAATTGAGAAGGTGGGGCCAATCCCAGTGACCCTACTTCAAGGATCACTGAAAGGATTAGAGATGTGTGTAAAGCCCTCGCAACCAGAAGGCACTCAGGGAAGCCGCCGGCATTGTTATTATTCGTGCAAATTATATACAAATTCTATCCCATTCAGGGCAGGCAAGAGAGCGGGACGCTGAGTGGACAGTCAGGGCTAAGGCAGGAAGTTTGTGGGGATCTGCTGCATCCGCTGCAGCTCTCCTACTGGCTTGCCAGCCATGTGACCTCAGGCAAGCACCCCTCTCTAGGCCTCTGGACCCCCCTTTCCTGAAGTTGGAGAACCCTCCCCCCACCCACACTCCCGCGCCTGTACAGCAGACCCTGATGAGGGAGGGGGAAGGGAGAGGGCTTGGCCAGCGGTGGTTTGTGCCGAGACAGCACCTCTGGATTCGCTCATTCAGCAAAAGCCAGTGGTTCCTGAGCCAGCAACTTTGGAGCCTCGCCAAGGCTGGGCTGGGGTGGGGGTGGGGGGCTGGGACACTGATAACAGCGGGGAAGCGAGGGGGACTCAGAGAGACAGCACAGGACAGGGTGAGGCCAAAGCCAAGGAGGTCATGGGATTTGGGATTGCTGAGGGGTAAGGGTGAGACATAGGGCTGGGGATGGGCCCCCCTCCCTGTCCTGAAGACCCTGGCAGGGCCTCCAACCAGCCCCGGAGCCTCAGTTTCCCCTTTGGTAACACGAAGGGACTGGGTACCCAGGAGACCCCAGCCATGAACTCATTCCCAGCCTTTCACATGATCCCAACCAGCCACCCAGTCCAGCCTGCCCTCCAGGCTGGCAATGTCCCAGAATGTGGCTGCCAGGCTTCCCCGTCTGGGCCTGCCTGGCGGGGCCCCAGAGCTTTGATGAATAAGATGGAAACATATATCAATCACACAAAATTGACCTCCACTATCAACAGCATGTGTGCCAGAAGGCATCTCTCCTAACACCCTTGTTGGTGGGGAGAGGGGGATCTTGTGGGTGAGAGGCCCCTGAGGTCTGAGGGACGGTGGCAGCCTCCGCCAACGGTGCTATGGTGGCCCCAAAGGCCACGGTCTGCATCCAGATGAATCCCATGGGGTGCTCTGCAATGCTGTCTCGTTTAAAACTCTCAACAACACTTGTGATACTGACCCCATTCTACAGATGAGGGCACTGAGGCGCACAGAGGTGAAGGGACTTGCCCAGGGTCACACACCCGTTGGTTGTACTGCTGGAACTGTGGCCTTCACACAGGCCTGAAGCCTTCCAGCCACAGCAGAGCAGGGTAGGTGTGAACATAGAATCAGTGCGTCAGCTCAGGGTCTGGGCTGCTGGGCCCAGGGGACTCAGAGGCTCCTCAGTGGCTGCCGCAGGGAAACCTGACCCACTTCCAGGCCAAACTAGCTTCTTGGCCTCTGCTCAGGCCCAGAAACCTCCTTCCCAGGAGGGAGGCCCTAGGTGGGGAGAGCTGTGGCTGACAGCACAGGCCAGTCTCTGACTGGGGTACATGGGACCCTTTGGGAATGTTACTGAAATTCTCTGAACCTGTTTCCCCACCTGCAGGAGGCACCATATGAATCAAATAAGAAATCACTTCACGCAGTGCCGGGTAAATAGTGTTCATCCTCAGCCATGCTTGGCAGATACACCCACCGTCCCTGTCCAGGATCAGGGTCTGGCAGCTGAAACTACAGGCCCTAGGGAAGTGCCCCCGCTGGGCCCAGCCCTGCTTACTAAGGTAAGAGAAGGTGGCCACAGCCACTCATGTTTGGCAAGGCAGCAGACCCACTGTTTGGGCTGCCCACTTCCATACAATGAGCAAGAACTGCAGGCCAAGGGTGGGGTGACCCACAGGGGCAGCATAGGGCACGGGGCAGGATCCCAGGTCCCCAGACCTCCGGAACCAATGCCTTTCCCACTGCAAGGACCACCCCTGCCACCCCTTTCTCCCCTTGCCAGCTCCTCCCACGTGGACCCAGCTTCATCCACCAGTGTTGTCTGGGCGCCTGGCCATGGCAAGAGCCTGGAATTCTCCTGCTGTCACCAAGGGCAAGGGCTGAAGTGTGGCCTGAGAGTCCCCCACTGTTTTCCCAACAGCCCACAGCCAGGGGATGGGCTCTATTTTGCAGCCAAAAGCAACAGGGATCCAGTGAGGCCCGAGACAGTCTCCCTGACACCATTCCCCCTGCCCCCAGTGGAAGAGCCAAAGTCCAAATCCTAGTGGCAGGAAGCGTGGGAACAGCAGGACCACCCCATAGTCAACAACACTGGGCCAAGGGGTGGCCAGGGCAGGAGGGGAGGAAGGGCCCACCCTGCACTTGGAGGGAATTGGGAATTTGCAGTCCCTCCTTCCCTCTCCCACTACCAGGCTGTGAGGCCACCTCCTGTAACTCCAAACTGCAGGGGAGGGACCTGGGCCTCTCATGTCCAGCCAAGCCAGAACCCCCATCCTCCACACACTCTGGCCCCCCAGACCAGAGGCCCGTACACCTGGGTTTGAACACTCGAGGTGGTGGGGAACTCACTCCAGGGGCAAGTCTGGGCTACCACGGAAGTTCTCCTGCACTAGGTCTCTTCTGATCCTCAGTCCAGGGGCACGGCTCTTGCTCAAACCTTTTTGGTCCCCATCCCCTTCAGAAATAGAGTCCATTGTCTGGGATAAACTGCTGAGGCCAATGTCCTCAGACTACAGGGAGAGGGTCTGCTCGTAGGCCGGAGACTGTAAGTCAAAGACAGAGCTATGTGGGGGAGCCAACGTGCGCCATCCTGAAGCCAGCTCTGCTGCCTGGAGCCCACCCAGCTCGCACCGGAAAGGCCCCGCTGGGTCACTTCCCCAGGAAACACACAAGCAGGGGGAAACACAGCTCCTGCCATCCTCACCCACCAGGCCTGCTCTGGGCAGGGCCAGCAGGGCTTTCCCTGCCCACAAAACATGGCAGAATGAGGCCGAGGATGTCTGAACCTCACTCACCAGGAGCCCCAAAGGGCCAGGAGGAACTGACCAGGGCCCCCTCTGAGGGGCCCCAGCCGTTCCCAGGTCCCCCTGTCACAGCAGCCTGCCACGGGTCTTTCTGCCCCTCTACCTCTGCCCCCCCTGTGGCCGGTGCCCAGGTGACCCTGTTCAGGTCAGCTTGCTGAGTGAAAGTCCCCTGTACTAATAGGCACAATGAGTTCCTACACAAGCTGGGGAGGAGACAGGCAGGGTGGCTCTGAAATGGGATGCAAGAGTGGGCTGGGAGGCACCCGGAGACCGTGCACCCGCTGCCCGGGGCCACCAGGTGCAAGCCCCAGCAAGGCTACAGCCGGTCTGGTCTGCAGAAACCCCAACCCAGGGCCCAGCTCCTCGGCCAGGCCTCACCACCTGCTCCTGGGGGCAGTGCATGGCTCCCACCCCTGCGCAGTCCAGCAGGGGATTGGGGCTGACAGCAAAGCAACCTGTGTCCAGGGGCTAGCCGAGGGGGTCCTGCACCCCACTCAGGAGAGGCTTCACATCATCTAGGCTCTCTGGCTAGCCTGCAAGCCCAGCATGGCTTGGCCCATGGAGAAGGGCCCAGAACCCACCAGCACACCAGGTCCCCAGCTCTCTCACCCACGTCCACCCTCCATTCCACGTGTCCAGAGATGTCATCGAGTGTGGGCCTCATGGCGACGCTGCAGGGAGATGCCCTGGACTTAACGACGAGGCATCTGAGGTTCAGAGAGGGATGGCGACCTGGCAGGGCCACACAGCAACAAGTGGCAGGGAGGGATGTGAACCCAGAGCCCAGGCACGGCTGTGTCATGTGACCTCTCACCCAGAGAAGTCCAGATGGGAGGAAAGGGGATGAATGGTGGCTTCGGAGAAGTGAGGCAGGATGCAGACGCAGACGGGGTTTGAGGAAGTTGGAGGCAGCGCCCAGTGGTGTGTGTGCAGAGCTGGGGGAGGGTCACACCCAAAGCTGCTGTACAAGCCAGGCAGGGCCTGGGCTCCGAGGGGACACAGAGACCAAAGACCCCAGAGGGGAAATCACGATAGGAGCAGGGGCTGGAAAGGGGGACCAAAAAAAAAAAAAAATTACATCAATTAATTAATCAATCAGTCAATTAAAAAATCACGGGAAGGGTGAATGGGGAGATGAGTGGCATCCATGACAGGGATGAGGAACCAGGAGCGGCTTTCAGGGAGTGCAAGGGGTGGCTGAGGGTTTGGGAAGGGGTGGTTTGAGACATCCTGTGTCCTGTGGGTGGCTGAGGGAAAAAGGCAGCCCGGCGTCTGTTGGGAGATGCCGGCCCAGAGGGACAGCCACAGCCTGAGCATGGGTGAATAGAGGTCAAAGGAGCCGAGAGCCAGACAGCCAGCCTGGAGATTGGAGGAGCTGCTGCCACAGGCCACAGGGGAAGGTTCCAGAAGAACAGGAAACTCAGGTCATACATCTGGACAGAAAAATGCCAGGGAGGTGAGCGGAACAGGGCCCTGGGATGGGAGAGCGGGATCTTGAGTTTTACTGAGGTAGGGCCTGGGGTTGGGCTGGGAGCAATGAGCTCAAGGCAAGGAGGGGGCAGAGGGACAGGTGGGGGGCAGGGTGGGCTGGGCCTCTCCAGGAAGGGGAAGCAGGTGTGGGGGCAGGAGCAGTTCCCTGTAGGAGAGCACGCAGGGGAAGGAGGAGA